AGTCATGTCACGAGCCACTTGAAGTCATTGATTTCATTTTTTCCCGAAATCACCGAAGTCAAACTCGAATTCACTGAAATCAACCCCGAAATCACGTGAAGTTGACTTCATTGGGAGTGAGTAGCCCCTCGGTTCTGTCAGTATTTCCATTTAGGACAATAACAAATTGAACCAAGTATTACGAAGGTCTGATCTAAGTACTTGATGCAAGTACTAGAGATGCTTGATTAACTTTGTGAGTATTTGCATAAAGCCCTATGGAAATTGGATTCAAATGTCTGTCAAGGCATCATAGTACTTGCTTCAACTACTTAAAAAATTCATAAAAGTTGTGATCTGAGAAGTATGTGAATCAAGTGTTCGCAGTACTTGATCAACTTTCCGTATACTCGAATAAAGTACTACGGAGACTTCATTCAAGTATCTGAATCAAATCTATATGCAAAATTTTGATCCATATAGTTCGCAACTTGATTCGGATTCTATTCTACTTCATTCAAGTAGGATGATTGGAAACTGATCTATTCGAAATTTAGACCCATTTTGTGTATAAAAAAGGATGATTTTATTGGTGACAGCCAATTTATAAGAAATAATTTCAATTGAAAACTACTGAATTGAATTTTTTAATGAAATGTAAAATGAAAAGAATTTAAGATTCAAAATAAAATTTGCAAATAAATATGAATGGGATATTACGTGATTCTTCGCTGACATTTTAACTGAGAAAATATTAATGAATCCAAGAATAGAAAGTGGAATTTGTCGTGAATCGAACGGAGAATAAATTAGACCTGAGACTCAAGCATTAGGGGTGAATAGTAGGAGGAGAGTTTTGGGGTTGGGGCAATGGAGATGAGAGCAAGACAGACAGATATAAAATTTTGAATATGAATGGGCAGTTTTGCATCCATAATGAGGCCTCTTATTCCTGGGAGACAAAGCGCTGCTTGACGAGAACATATGTAGATTAAGGATGGATTTTTATGGTTTAAGACTGCCAAGTGTCTTTCCAAATCCCTTGTCTCAAAATTCTCCTAATTTAAAATCTGCGCGATTACTTTCTACAAAATTGAATATTAAAATGAAAGAAAATTAATTATCATTTTTTCTTATCCCTGATCACCAGAGGTGAGTGCATGCATTTAACAACAGCTAACCCCACGTACGAAAAAATGCTATAGGATTTTTTCATCCGTGGCTTATTTCGCCATCGCTCAGGCGTGGCATTATTTGATTAAAAAAGTTGCAAAATGACGGAAACTGCTACAAAATCTGTTACGGTAAAGTCATTTTTGAATAGTCGAAGAAGAGAAAAATAAAAACTCTCAATCTAAATTTGAAGAATTTTAAAAACATATAACATTTTAGGTGCTCCCCGACTTTTTTCTACTATTTCTATTAAAAACAGATAATTTTTCTGAAATTCTTTAAATTTATATTTTGAGTTTTATATTTTTCTCTTTTTGACTATAATCTAGAGTTAGAGTTTTATAAATAGTTGTATATATATTCAAGGATAACTTTTATTTAATCTGTCATGTTCGGAATTATTCAAAAATTTTATTTCATTCAAAGTTTTATGCTCTTCATAAGTCTGACTTATTCGTTGTCCACTGAATTCGTTGTCCATTGATTTGCTGTCAAAGCAGCGCAATTTACCGGGCTAGCACGCCACACGTGTTCCTGAAAACCCCAAAATCGCAAATGCAGTGCATTTGCACTGTCTTTTCAACCACTGAATTCATTCTTTTAAAATATTTCTTTAGTCTCCATTTAGATCCCAACACGGCACGTCAATTAGACCGAACTCCTTGGGTCTACACGCGTTCGTAACTTCGGAATCAGTTACAATATCTTACCCGACGTACACGTGATCAATAGACCCAATCTGAGCCTTATCAATCGCCGTTAATTAAAATTTAATTAATCGATTTTTTTTTTATTTTCAAATTCAATTCTTTCGAAAATTGGTTGTTCCTTATGCAGAAAAATGGTTTATTCGAGTTGAAGAACTTTTATTTGAATGGACTAAATCGTTTATTTAATTCCAATAGAGGATTTGTTTGATTCAAATAAAGTTTATTTAATTCAAATAAACCATTTTTTTGAGTGCACGATAACTAAAAAAATATTCTGAATTGATTGAGTGATGGCTTAAACAATTCGTTTGGGTGTCCTCTTGACCGAGTTCAAAGATGAAGGCGAAGCAATAATTGTTATTTTGAGTTATTTGCAAATTTGCAAAATTTTTTCATTTTTTGAAAATCACAATGCGGGGGATATCTTTGAATATCATGTTTCAAATGAATTCAATCATAGCCTAAAATGTTCGTTTTAATGCCATTAAGTCGGAGTTAAAAGACGATTACGGTAACTATATTAGTTGATTTGATTTTTATAATGATTGTTGAAAATTTCTAATTTTTCATGAATTTCCCTGAAAGTCAGATTTCTGGCGGTTTCTTTAAATGTGATATTTCAAATTCATTCAAGTATGCATAAATAAAATTTTGCTATTAACACTTTAACGAACCACTGAGGTGCGAGTTAGAACTGTAAAAAAGACAATCGTTTGTATATAAGAAAGGGATAATAAGAATAATAATAATGATAACATTCCTGACCGTCATTAATTAGTAAATATCAGAAATCTATCAAATATTGGAAGCAGAACGATACATAGATACAGATGCATCTATTGCTTCAAAGGATAAGGATCCACAATAAAAATGAATATTATTTTATCCCGTTAACTGAAAATTGAATCTAACCTATTTAATATTTAACTTTATTGAATATGAATTTGTTATCTAAAATTTTCCCGTTATCACAGATCAATTAATCACTTTAATATTTTTTATTTTCCCCTTTTCGCGCATTCTTCCATTTCAGATTATTTTCAGTCATTTCCACCATAAAAAAAACGATCAAGCTTCCGTGGAAAAAAAAACCAATCAAATAAAACTTCATTGAATTAATGATCCTGAGCGAAAAAGCACTTGAAACTGGTCTCTAAATTCGTTAATTGGTACAACCTCAAATTAATTTTTCTTCTCAACCACTCAGACCAAATATGTACCTTTTTATTTTTATTAAATTACCCACGACACCGAAAATGTCTCGACTGACCCTTTGCAGTTCCTCACTCCCTCTTTTGCGCCTGAAAAAACTTGAAGGGTAACTCCATATTTACCACTGGGGTTAATTTTTTTTCTCCCTACCCCTCCCTCTCCCCGAGTTGGTCATCGAGGGGTTAATTCCCTCGATGTGAATTTCCTCCAAGTCCAGAAATCAGAGTTTTGATGGAGAGGTACATATTTGAGTGGTATTTCAATGATGGAGGGAGAGGCGAGGGGATGGGGTGGAATCGATTGCAGAAAACGACGATGTAAGAATTATGCAAATTTCGTTTACAAGTGAATCGAAGAGACGTGGGGAGGGGGAGGGAGGAGTTGGTGGAGGTTACAATTAGGCAGGAGCCAATTCAATATCGAGGGCCATTTGGTGGGGAATATTCATCGGTAGTAAATGCCTCGGTCTTTCCACACGATCGATCCAAAACCCCTTTCTCCATTGCAACTTGATGAGTGAAAAAAATGAAATAAAAAAATTCTTTCGAAATAAAAAGGATGTATTTTTCCAATGGCTGTAAAACTGAATGATATAGTTAATTATCAAAAGGGCGTAATTATCTACGTGTGGAGAAAGAAAGTTGTATGTCCGCGGTTACACCCTTTTAGTTTTGACAATTGGAGAGCTTTTAGTATTGATGATTTCCCCACACGCCCTCACAATTCAATGTTATGGAATTCTGAACACTGACTTCATGGAATTGAGACATGAGGCGGGGAGAAAGGTCGGAAGGCTCACATAAGTTTCTGACCCTTAAAAACTGCAAAAGGGTATAAAGGTCAGAAGGATCAGAATCTTATATAGGTTCTGACCATTAAAACCCGCAAAAGAGTATCACGGTTATGAACGTCAGGATTTCATATTCGAGACCCGATATGTATATTCGGACTCTCATGTATAATATTTTGACCCTCACGATCCCTACGATCCTCACGATATCTTCCTGGCCCTACAAACCTACAGATGAGTACAGGGATCATGAGGATCGAAAGGGTCAGAATCTTATATGGGTTCTGACCCTTATACTCTTTTGAGGGTTATGAACGTCAGGATTGCATATTCTAGACCCGATATGTATATTCGGACCCTCATGTATAATATTTTGACTCGCAAGATCCTTATGACCCTTACGATATCTTCCTGGCCCTACAAACCTACAGATAAGTACAGACGTCATGAGGGTCGCAAGGGTCATGATTTTATATTCGAGACCCCCTTCGTAAGACCCTCTATAAAGATCTCCGCCTATAATATTTATTCTGACCCTTACGACCTTTACATCTATCCGCCCGTTCTGACCCTGAGATGGAACCAAGGGTAAAAAAGATTTTAGATGATACTTATAATAGGAAATTGAATACTGAGTCAGTATGCAGCAGAAGATATAGGAGCCCGGTGGCTTGGCGCAGTAGGTAAGTTCGTTGTCTCACGTGCGAAAGGTCCGAGTTCAAAATCCGGCCGGGTAGGATGGTGAGGTCTAACCATTTAAAGTCTTGATCATCATCGCAGCCATGGAGAATAGAGCCCAGGAGGCCGAACATTGGTTACGATAATGCGCCTGAAACCCGGTTTCAAATACCTCGAGGGCGCTAGTGTCACATCACTATCGGCCGCTTGCAGGGGATATATGGGACGGGTGGTAGGGCGCATACTGTTTTGCAAGCCAAGTTCTCAACATTCTTTATTCGAAATAGGCAAGAAAGAAATGCCTTCTATTGATTTACATAAATAAAGTTTGTAACCGGAGAACAAAGAGAATGAGTTCTCAGCCATTGATGAGGACGAGGCCACTGAGTCACCTGAATTTAAATGGATCTGACTGTCTGACTCTCTCGCGAGAGGAGATGTTGCGAATAGATCGGATTCTAATTGGACTTCTGGCTCCAATATGTCTGATCTGATGTGATTCGATTGTCTGCCTCGTTTGATGCATCCATGGCTAATTTGGATGACTGAATTTCTAGTTGGTCGATAATGACATCTGGTATGCTTGGCTCTCCTTTTCTCACCTCTTGGGGATTCGCTGGTCCAATGTTCTCTTTCTATAGATTGACAAAACATAAAGAATTGAAAAAAGGTTTCAGAATACTTCATTTGTAATGCTAATTTCTTAATTTGATAGTAATTTTACCATGGAAAAAAAACAAAGAAGATGACTAATTGCATTTATTTTTCTAGCTAGTTTTAGATTAATTTTCGTAGAACAACTTGTTACTTACCTCACAGATATTGTCTTCAGGACATACGATATTGCCTTGGTTATTTTGTGGAATTGCACTTGGCTTTATGGTGATTCTTCCTCGGTCCATGGTGTGTTTGATCCCATTGGGGAGAAATACTTCATAACTTCTCAATACATCTTCTGATCGAAAATGCAACTCACAAAGAACTTCGGTATCTTTTGCCTTACGACCTATAACTTCTTCCCACTTATGTCGAATAAACGGTTTTTTGTCCTAGAGCGGTTATATAATAATAGTTTAATAGTTTAAACCTTTACTGGGAATTATTTGAATTACATTAAGTTAATCAGAATCATAAAAATACTAACGGTTTGTGGAAATCCAAACATTGCTTTATTTCGTACCCCATGTTGTTTATTTCTCTTTTTATCACTTGCACTTCCCGAATTACAACCGGGGAATGAGCACACAGTCCTCATACTGGCCTTTTACCTTATAATTTGACTTTTATTCCGTAATTAATTAATGTTATAATTCACATTACCCGCAAAACAAAAAGGTAAACAATGAACGTGAACTGGGCTATGACATTTGAATGCATACATGCGATAGTGATTAGGAATCTACTAACATACGCTCACATCATGTACGTGAGTGCTTGCGGAGGAACAGCAGCGACGCCTGTGTTCACATATAGAATTATGGTCGCCGACCGCCTTCCCGTCTCATAATCAGGCGCATCGCCCATATGAGTTCGGCCTCCTGGTCTCTATTCTCCATGATCGCAGCATACCCTAACCGGGTCGAAGCGATGTAAAATAACGATAAAAAAAAGAAGATATAGGAGGTCTCACATATATGATTTTGACCCTTAAAACCTACAAATAGTATAAGAGTCATGAGGGTCGAAATGGTCAGAATTTCATATTTGAAACCCTATAAGTCAAATGCTATGTATATTATATTCTGACCCTTAGGGCCCCTTCGACCCTTACGATCTCTTTCTGACCCTTAAAACCTACAGATAAGTGCAGGGGCCACGAGGGTCGAAAGGATTACGATTTCATATTCGAGATTCCCTATGTAAAACGCTCTATAGAGACCCTCATCTATAAAATTGATTCTGACCCTTCTGACCCTGTAATGGAGCCCAGGGTAAAATCGATCCCAGATAATACTGATAATAGGAAATTGAATAATTTCTATTATAATATATAATTGAATAATTCCGAAACTGTCATTTATAATACTCTGGCCCTTATGACGCTCATGTTTTTTTGACTCTTCTGACCTCCATAACCTTTACCCAAAAAGTAAAATCCATTCCGGGTTCTACTAATAATAGGAATAACGTATACAATTTTGGAATATGATCGTTTTCCATTTTTTTAAATGGAGAATGAGTGAAATGAATTGGAATTGTGAAGCGAGCAAGGGCAGAGAGGGAGGGGAGTCATTCATAATTTTTTTCAGAAGAAACTGTCGCAAAAATGATTGACTCATCGTTTGAAATGAAACAAAAGACTGACGCCCTTTTGACATTGCAGAAGTAAATCCACTTGAAAATCGGTAGTTACGTCCTTTAACAGCCAGGACGATAATATTAAAATAACTAGAATTTCTTCCCACATATGTGCCAATGACTCAAGCGGACATTTTCTCCATTGAGAAATACACGGCTATTTCATTTGATTTTTTCCCCTCCTTTATCCTGACAATTGATGCCTGGGATGCATTATGTACCAGTGGCGTGCGTCAGAAGACACGGATTTCCATTTGTTTCATTCCGTACATTTGCCTCGAGGCGACGCACTCACATGTGTATGAAGCGCATGAATCGTCCGCTATCTCTACACTGGCTTTTGTCATTTATTCTCCCTCAATGTGCAATTTTTTCTCGTTTTTTTTCGCCTTTTTTATCCATTCGCCCTTTGAAACGTTTGACGCAAACGCATGAATGAAACGCTCTCAATTCATAAATAGAATACTTTTTTATTAATATGTACGAGACACGTTGGGTTCTACTGGTTCAGTTGAAAGTTTCCACCAATTTTACAGGTTTTTTTAAGTTTAAAATTGAAATACGATTTTTTGTCGATTACTTTTTTGTTGAAGACTGAATAATATCGTTATTCATTCTTTCATCAGTCTTGAATTCTATCAAAGGTTGATTAATTCAATAAAAAATTGCTTCAGGCGATTCACATGAGTGTGACAATACGAAACAATATGGCGTGTGTTTCAACAGCTGATCGATTCTCCATATTTTTCATTTAGTGATGAATACTTGTTGGAGGTTGTTGCATCGTATGTTGAAAATGGCCGTTATTAATATACAGAATTGTATTATTCAATTAAAGCAATCAACATAGAACAATTATAAACTCATTATGAAGAGTTAAATAGCGGAACATTGTGACATTTGAGTATTTCCCGGTTCTAACTTAAAGGCAAATCGTAGCTCATATTTCTCGTCCCGTCAAGGGACTCAAGCCAATACTGAAAATGCCCAAACAATGAGACCCTGAGGTCCGGTACAGCCTTAAGGGACGAAAAACGTAAGTTCAAAAGGGTGGCCTCAGCTCAGTTCTCGTTTGATCTCCAAGCGAGAAACAAGTAGCTATTCAATGATTCTAATCTTTGCAATATCAATGAAATACTCAAGCGCTTATTTATCCGATCTTCAATGAGCTCTCCATTAATAATATAGAGGAAAAATAAAATCAGTCAAAATTCTCCAAATGTTTTCCCCTTGAATATCATTACGAATTTTATCTATCGCTTTTATGTAAAATTCCGTGGAGAAGCTCTTATTTACATTCAAGTGTTAACATTAAGTGTGCATTGAATTATTTTCAAAATTTAGATGACAACAAGTTGGCCTAAGCGGTCTTCAGCAATTTTATCTACATAGAAATGAAGTTGAAGTTGAACAATTCTACATCAGCTTTCAAACTGAATGAGTCTGCACGCTGCTATGACAAATATCAACCGCAACCCGATCAAGTTTTTATTTTTCTTATGTGTTGTTTTATTTATTTATTCATTTTCAATATTTTTATTTCATTTGCCGACGTTGAGTGCTGTTTGTTTCGAAAATTAGTCCAGGAGTATGAATTGCTATATATCTTTGTTAATTCAAATGGTTTTTGTACGGACATGTGTGCTTCAATGTATTTGTATGTATCAACATTTTTACATTTTAGTGGTTAGAAAACAGGATTTTTCTCCGATTTTATTGGTTTTATTTGTAATAATTCAGAACATTGGATTAATAAAGAAGCTCCTGATGAGGGCTTCCCAGGAACACGTAACGATGGGCCATCGCAAAGAATTCTTTAACTTCAACTTCATTTCTAAGTTTATGAAATTGGTGAAGACCACTTAAGCCACCCTGTTGTCATTTGCATTTTGGAAATAGTCTCTTCATTTCTCCGCAAAAATATGTAACAAATGAAACTTTAATGTTCTTTGGGTTAGTAGTGACATCATGTCTTAGAACAATTAGATATCCTCTCACCACAGTGGGATCGTGTAATACAAAAATGAACAGAATGACAGTGAACAAATGAAAAAAAAAAATATTGACCTTTGCAATTTAAAATTCAGCGTGTCAGTGATTAATTAATCTCGCCATAGAATCAGCATTTATCCAAAATGAACAATTAATAATTTTTATTAACGTCTCGAATGATATATATTGTTAGCTCAAGTGTACCCTAGAGTGGGGATAGACATTAATATTTGTAATTTAAGCCAATCAAAATTTGCATAATTTTTTTTGTCCAATTTTGCGACCAATTAGGCCCAATCTAGATCTGAAAATACAACAATGAAATATTTTCAGACCCAAAGTATCAGCTGGAGTTTCCTCTCAAAAGTTTAAAACTAGGGCTCGAACTAGAGACCATAGCTATCTACAATAATCTATAATTTATCTTCAAAAGAAAATAATTATTCACTTTTCACAAAGAAAAAATGAAACGACTAAAAACGATACCGTCTGTTTTATTCAACAAAACAGCCAGGAAAATTCATAAAATCGCATGAATACATAAAAGTCACAAGGAATCGACGGGGACATGGCGCAAAAAGAATGAAAAAAAAACCAATGAAATTGAGGGGTTGATACCCAGAGCCATGTGGTCTGTCTTTTTTCGTTAATTTTTTTTTATGATTTTCGGGAGGAGTCGAGTCGCGTGCGTATACAGGTGCGTGCAACCGACAGGGGGGTCTAGTGTTCACAGTTTCAACAGGTGGTCAGTCGTGGGTTAGAGCCCCGTGGCTACCCATCCATCAAGGGCTTTGTGCTCTTTCTCTCTCTCATTTCTGTATGCGGTGGTGTGCCCATCGGCCGTGGTTACTCGTCGGATAGGTACTTGTCCGAGTTAAAGTGCCTCTTCCTCCCCTGTTTTTTTCCCTCTTCCTCTCTTCTGCCTCTTTTTTTATCACCCAGCCTGCGGCGACCCTTTTCACTGGTGAAAGAGGAGAAAATAAAAATGAAGGAGATGGAACAAAAAGTTGCCAATTCACGGCGACGTTTCGCAGAGGCCCCCCCAACGTTCAAGTGAACAGAGGAACAATGGAATCGTTAATTGAGATTTTTTTGTTTTGGCTCTTCTGGGGTTTTCTTGACGCGTGAGGTAATGGGAAGGATTGTTTCTTTTTTGTTTCGGGCGGGAAGAGTGAAGCTGATCCAACGGGGGAAATGACTCTATTGGGAAGTTGGTGAGATTTTCGGTTTCAAACACTCGTTTTGAGACATTTTCGAGGATTTACACACTGAGAAAAAAATTTCCCAATATCTGAAACATATTTTCTTGAGACAAGTAAATTTTCTTGAATTGCTTAATTCTCTCAGGCATCTCAACTCACATGACCCGAAAAAGGCCTCATGCTTTAAAATATTCTTGTACTCAAGTATGATTTTGTCGCAAATGAACTTTCTTAAATCGCGTAGAAGAATCGTCAATCTTCTAGTCTTTATTGTTTTCATGATTTTTTCGTTATGCACTTCCAATATTGCAATACGTAAAATATTCATGACGTAACGCGGAACGATAGTGATGAATAAAAATTTATTCGAGTTCCGTGAAGTGCACACATTCTGAGATTTAAGCCATTGAAAATAATTTACTTCTCTCAAGAAAATATGTGTCAGATATTAGAAATTTGTTTTCTCAGTGCAGGTATTTAAAGTAGTATGGTCACTCTCCAAAGTGATCGTTAAGTGTCCGTCAAGAAAATCTAAAAAAATTAATCAAAAAAGTATGAATTATAGTTGAAAATTCTCTTTGCGAATTATAAAATTTATGAATATAAGAATTAATCGATTATTTTTCTTATTTTTTACTTATTAGTCAAATAATGTACCTCCTTTGACTAGCGTCGTTTTATGTGTGGCAACGCTGTAACTTAACAGCGTAGGGAAAACGAGATTTGAAATGCCCGCTTGTTCCCACTCTACTAACGCGTCGTTGCCGCAT